ACACACACACACACACACACACACACACACACACACACACACACACAGAGAGCGAGAGACAGAGCGAGAGACAGACAGCGAGAGAGCGAGAGCGAGACACAGTCTGACTAATTGTTACCTGCAGTTGTTTGGGCTTCTTCAGCTTTAATTTCCCAGTTTTGTATCCTCCATATTTGTCAAATAGATCAAAGAACCTGGATTGATGGAAGACAAACTTCAGATTAATCAAACGTTTTTTTACAGCCAGCCAGTAAAAGCAGAGATAACCTACATGGGGTTGCGGACTTCCATCTTCATCTTCTGTTTCGGCGTTCTGTCTCCGTGACGGATGACAGCGATGACGCATCGTAGCTCCATCCTGAAGAGTGCAAGAGAAAGTTAGCTAATGTTATTATTAATACAGCAGCAAACAACTATTTTAATGTAAAGATTAGGCTTGGGTGGTATCTATTGTGTCATGACTTCCTGATATGTCAACAGGGTATCTGATGGTATATGAATAATTGAAGTCTATGTGAAAATGACTCTACTTCTCTCTTGATTTATTACCTCAGTAAACATTGTAAACATGAGTTTATGGTCTCAATCTCTAGTTTCAAGTCTTCTTCAATACAGCATGATGTTCATTTAGTACATTATGGTCCATTTAGAGTCAAACAGACCATGAAGCAGGGGATGCTTTAGGGCGGGGCTACTGTGATTGACAGGTCTCTACCAGAGACGTATACGGCGTCTCTACATTCCAAATATGGTAACTGCAAAAAAGCCAAGATGGCGACGGTGAAATCACCGAACTCGAGGCTTCAAAACATCCGTTCACAAATCAACTGGCGACGTCACGATGACTACGTCCACTTCTTTTATACGTCTGTGATTAGAATTCCTGAAATTACACCAACAAGCTAACCGATCGATGCAGCAAGTGGACCAGCAACCTCTGAGATCTGGGAGGTAAAGATTTCTGTTTTTGTCAACAGAGTCTTGTGGCTTTGGAGAGAGCGTAGATACCCACTTGTTCCCCGTCTGAAAGGTGTTTTTAGTCCACAGCAGAACATTGCTTTGCTCCCATTGATGGATAAGTACCTCAAACAACCCCACTACAAACAAACCACACTATCCCTTTAAGGGACCACCCAAATTGATTTGAAGCCAACTGAACATCAGTAAACGGTTCTGACTCACATGGTCCCTGAAGTAGTGGGAACAATGGGGATGTCCTCCGCCTCCGTCGGGATGGACCAAGGAATCTGAAACTGAGGAGCCAGCTCACGCATCACGATGTTCCTGAGGAGCCGATGAAGAGAAATCCAACGAGGAATGAAACAAAGCAAGCTCAATGAGTTCAAAGGTTTCCAAATCGATCGAATTCAAATCAAATCGAAATCTCAGGAGAAAATGTTCCAGTGGACCAGGAATGACAAAAAAAACAAGTAAACGTGGTACCCGAGGATCTTGGCACAGTCGTCGTAGTACTTCATCGAGTTCTTCACGAAACTGAAACCGTTGACATCGCACACATACGAGTGTCCATTAGCTCGGAGGAGGTCGAAGCCACACACAGTTTGCTGCAGCGAGAGGAAACAAATTCAGCAACGATGCTCCACAACGAAGGGAAAGAGAGCAGCGGGACAAAGCGATGCCTCCTCCTCCTCCTCACCTTGAACGCCAGGCAGACCTTACGGGCCACCAGCTTCTCCATGGCAGAGAGCATGACCGGGTAGCGGACCTCCTTCCCCTCGCTGTCTCGCTCCACCTTCCCGTCCAGAGCCGGGGACTTCCGAGCCTCAGCGTGAGCGTAGTCGGGCCCCACAGTGTAGACCTGAGGTCACATGACACACCACCAGACATTCTCAATCACTCTCAATGCAAACATTGATTCTAGGTTTAACTGACTTACACTATTCTTGTTAATTTAAATAATAGAGCTGTGAAGTGCTTTTTTCCTGTTCCGTATCACCATTGCAAAGTTTTATTTACACAAAATCCTTTTAACGATGACACTTGAGCTTAGTTTATACTGCACGTTGTTCAGACCGACAATCTTTTTTAGCACTTTAAACACGTCTGAGGTGTTTAAATGCTTCAGAAACCTTTGTCTTAAAAGTCTACATTCGAGTATATATATATATATTTTCACACATATATATATACACACACACACACACACACACACACACACACACATATTTATTTATTTTAATACATATATAGATTCCATACTCTACCTTGACATCCGTGCCGTCTGTGGGCATGAACTCTTCATAGATGTAAGAGCCCGTCTTCCTCACGGTGGTCTCCGGTGAGTACACGCTGCTCCGGCTGCCGATCTACACGAATCACACAGCGAGTGAAAAACCATCCAGTGCAACGGTGCATTCCTATTATTCTCTTTAAGGTCCATCACCATCTGAAATAAAGGCTGAGGCTCCGTGTTTGACAACAGTGTGTCTGATTTATGATAACGTGCTTTCTCTGGCAGAGCAACAGACTCGTGGACCATTACAGGACAAGCTATCAAGTGGTGCAGGTTACTGCATTAATCCTCTGAACCCCAAAAACCCACGACAGCAGTGAAACGAAGGTTCTTTAAACAATCTGCCTTCTGTATACGATACAGAATAGTGGCCGGTCATTAACAGTGAAGTATTAATAGAGTGGTTGTTGTAGTCTGATATACACGGGACAGGTTTTAGGATGTAGTGTGGGATCTGTCGACTCTAAACAAGGACCTTTCTGAAGAGCCGCTGGCTGCCTCCACCAGCAGAGGTGGGGTAGTAGATGTAGACGTTGTGGTCCTCGGCGCAGACGGGCTTCTCAACGAAAGGTTTCTGGAACACCTCTCCGTTCACCTCCACGTGGTCCTCTCCTTCCACCAGGTTACACTCTAGAGTAACACAGAGAAAATGCTTCTGTGAGCCAGGAAGCCCCCTTTTCTTATTATCCCTTTAAATGTACACAGAGGAGTGTTTGAATCTAACAGAATAACACAAATAAAGGCAGTGGGAGACAAGCAACTCTCTGTTCTATGAGGTAAAATGACCGGTTTTGTGAATGGAGTCTGGTATCTGTCTGACAGAAAGGTAAAGAGGTGGAAATATTCTATGACATGTCTGCTTACACTTTAACGGAAAGTTAAACACAGACCTTATTTCAGACATCGAACCAAAACCCATTAATAAAACCCATTGACTTCCACACAAAGGAAACCGGACGTACAAAGCCTAACTCCTATGATGGTAGTCCCGTCTGTTTCTCCAAACTGGGCTGGTGCGCCAACTGCCATCTTCAGTAGCTAATACACTGAATATGGAAAACTACCTCATACAACCACACTTCCAAAAATCCAAACCATCCCTTTAAGTATGGCACACTTGCGACGGCGTCATGTTTGATACTATATTTAGGATAACGGCCTCAGGATGCTGCCTGGACTGGAGCTGTTTTTCTGAGGAACTTTTTGTCGAGGAATATAGTCAGCCATCTACTGCGCTTTCCCATGTGATGTTAACTGAATAAATGACTTATGGAATAGCATTAATGAGGCGGCAGACTGACCATCTGGGTTGTCTGGGTCGCGGTTCAGCACAGCGTAGCGCGGTAAATCAATCCCTTCCTCCTGCAGGATGCGATACACCTCTCTCCTGTTAAACAAATACATCAAATAACACAGGAATACACTATGTTTGTTTGTATATTCTCAATCATAACCAATATTGTAAACGTAGAGCTAAAGAGTACATCTCAGTACCTGTCCTGTATGTAGTACTGCATGTTCAGGTCATTGAGGAGCAGAGGGTTTCTCAGCTTGGCATAGCTCACGGCCTTATCCAGCGGGAAGCCTGGTGGACATGCAGAGAGATGAATCAATAAATAAAGCTCATGGACAACATGATGTTAATAACAAGTGGGGAAGAGGAGTTCAGAGTTACGGCTGCTGAGACACAAACACTTGACATGCTGTAGACTAGACTCGCGTCGAGAGACAGAATGACTCTGTTGGACTCAACATAATGCTGACATTGTATTACAAGACAGACAGCATACATACATGTGCTATACAGACAGCAGTGTCGCCCAGTCACGGCAAAAAACAACAACACAAAAACAACCTGCCACACGGTTATATTTTCATGACAGGAATGAGGCCGACAGACAAATGAAAACATGATGCCTTCGGACATAGATGTCACCTTTGTCTAAAACACATCAAACATGGTTCACGTGTAATAAATGAAGACGTGTGTGATGTGTGTGTGTTGTACCCTTGGAGTGGAAGGAGATGAGGCAGTCACACAGAGGCCATTTGTCCACGGGCTCGTTGAGGATGGCGTCCTCAGGGAAGATGACCACGGTGATGAACTCAAACTTGCACAGCCTCTCCAGGATCTGGGTCATCGGCTTGGACTTGGACTTCTTCATCATGCAGCAGATCCCCACCACGATCTGTCGCTCCGGGGGCTGAACGAAGGGAGCGAGAGAGAGAGAGAGAGAGAGAGAGAGAGAGAGCGAGAGAGCGAGGACAACAATTCAACAATCTGTCCGAGGAAGCAAGAGAGACAACGGCAGCTTTGTCCCTTAAATCTCCAATAAAACCTCACACTAAAGGACTGACAGTAATAGATGTCTGGAGTGTCTCCTCTTCTAAGACAGAGAGAGTCAAATTAAATTAAAGCCCCAACCATCGTCCTTAACTCTCTGAACCGGCAGGATGGAAAAGCACGTTTTCTTTAAACAATCACCAACACTACACTGTGCATCACAGCCAGAAGCTGTAACAACGGTGATAATTGTCAGATTTTCATCTTTCCGAAGGTCCTTAAACACATCGTGTGCGACGAACGCTTCCGTCAGAAAACGCAGCCGAAACTAAGATAAAAATGGTGACATTTCATCAAAAACATTTTATTCTACGTGTTTCATTTAACCTTTTGCCCCAAATAAACAGTTTCCTTTAACCAGATCCTGTAAAAAATATTAAATTCTGAGCTCCTCAGAGCAACTGTGAAGCCATGATTGATTCATCTGAGACCAACAGCCACGTGACAACAAATCAGAGAAACTTTGACTGAATTTCAGGCTGCTGAACACAGGGCAGAGAGGAGAGGAGAGATTGTAATAATGTGAATAGCTTAATATTTATAGCACGTAAAGTTTATATTACTGTGAAAAGCAAGGCCACAGAGAGTAAATTGTGACGGGAGGGTTAAACCGTGATAGGAGTCTGGCCCGAGACTTTCTCGTCTGCTATCCAGCGGACTCATTCACCAGAGCATCCAATGTTAACGTTAACTAGCAGGCTCGAAGAGCGCTGGCAGTGAATGGCCGCAGGCAAACCACACGGATCTATTTCTAGATCTCGGCACAAAAAAGATCTCTGACCTGGTAACTTAAGTGCATCTGATTATCTATTACTCACTGATTATCTGAAGCTCGCACCGAACATTTTTAAGTAGAGAGGTAGTGTAGTTTGACGTCTCACCAAGTCCGTGTCTTCGTCGTCCTCATACAGGTCCATCTCTGTCCTCATGCTGTCTTCCAGGGCCTCGCTCTCATCGTCCTCGCAGCCCACGAAGAATCTGGGAGCGCCACGCCGGCTCTCGCCCGGGCTGTTGGGCTCTGACATCACAGTCCCCCGCGGCGGCCCTCAGCGTCCCACCGTGCCATCGTACACCAACACAGCCGATATGAGGGTGCGAGGCCTGAGGGACAGCGCCGGGTCCGCTCTGCCTGGGCTGGAGAGCAGAGATGGGTGGACGAAGGTGTGCGTTTGTGAGGCGGAGAAAGGTTACGTGTGAAATGATGGCGATGGTTCAGTCCTCTGTGATGACGCCGTTATTCAAGTCACTCAATCTTCACATCTCATATGGGTTTCTCAAGAGTCCTCAGCACCGATTATCTGGTGACAGTCCTGTCCTCCATTTGTACGTCCTACACGAGAAACAAAACATTCACAACATTATTAATAGGGTTTGGCCTCGTGGTGTGTACAACGTACTTCATACTCGGTATCAGAATGTACTGCACAAAGCCTACAAAATGAACGACTAAGTAGGATTTCCCCAGCTGACATAAGTGAGTAAAAGAATCTCTGAAAATGTTGCAGCTGATTTCCAAACAGACATTATTTGTATAAACTGAACAAAAAACCAAGCGGGACAAAAGCAAACTGAACACAAGTTCAGACTGAAGAGTATAAGAGTGAGAAACGCCAGTAAAATGTATAGATGGATGTATAATTTGTTCTTATATCTAAAGATTTAAGCATTAAAAACATCTTCATAAAACCCATTAAGTCTAGATAAATAAGTCTGGAGGTCTCGTTATGCCCAGCTGTGTGTGGGTGACTTTTGGTTTTCCAACTAAAAAAAGAAATACAAAGTGTGGCACTTTGAATCCCACTTATTATCCCGTCACTTTAGAGCAATAATGGCCGTGTGCTTGAGCAATAATTACCTCCAGGACTTGCTCTACTGTTACACATTTAATGCTGATGCTGCAGTCTGCTGCTGCACAGACAGCAGGGGCGTCGTCTCTGATCTGCATCTCCATCACCACTAAACATTAGCCAGTCATGGAGACCATGAGGACCGGCGTACTCGTTACTCCCTGTCACGCTATAAGACACCCATCTGAATGTGTCTTATCACTCACGGGTCAGTGGAAAATACAGTTATTAGCATAAGCAGCATAGAAGGGGTCGAAACGAGATAAACAAACACTTTACTGTCCAAAAGCCATGGGGATCTCCAGCTGAGGAAACACAAACTAGACTGCAAAAAAGACCAAGTTCCCTCCACAGGTTTAGTTGCAGGTCCCTGTGACCTAAAGCACTCAGCTAACCTTCCTGGGATTCACAAATAATAGTTAAGCATGAATGTAGCATGTTCACTTAGAGCGTTAAGTCCAGTCAGCAGAAAATTCATCGGCAACTATTCTGATAATAGAGTACTCGTTCAAGTAGTTTTTTAAGTAAAAACAAATATCAGAAGATTCAAATGTTTGTGTTTTCTCTGTTTTCTCTAATAGCAAATTGTCTTATTTAATATGTCAACTTAGGAACTTTGGAAAATTGTGGGTTTATTGAGAAAATCACTGACGGACTTATGAACATATGTACGTCGCTGCCGGTTAAGTGGTTGGTCGAGTGGTTAAGCCCACCGCTGTCTTCCACCTAATAAATGTTCTTGGGAAAAGAGACACTCAGCGGGTGAAAGACGACGTGCAGAAGACGGTCACAGTTTGTATTTAATAAACGTATCGTGAAGACGTTATCTTTCCATTTGAACACAGTTAATACTAAAGTATCGTGCCTTGATGTTGGTCGTATCCATTTAAGGCAATGGAAATAAGAAAACAGGGGTCTGTGGCTGCTAAACATTAGAAATGTTTCACTGTTGCCTGGTACACACACACACACACACACACACACACACACACACACACACACACACACACGTATTCTCACTGAAATAAACTCTTTCCATGCTTAAGTGGATTAGTGTTTCAGAGCTTGAGCGTAACAGTTAATCTCTTCTATTACACCTGCTTAACTACCAGAGGGGCCATAGCTCACCAGTGAGGTCACCCCTGTAGCACCAGTATGAAATATCGAATCTTGTCTCAAACGTTTGACACAATCCTGTTGGTTTTAAACTCAAGAGAAGCAGCAGAATAGTTCACCGATCTGCCAACAGATCATTATCGATTAAACTGCTGATTATTTCCTAGATTAATCGATTGCTTCGAACGTGCCCTTTGAATACATTTCTGCTGTCTCTACCCCACCTTGAACCAGATGAGTCAGGCTCAGACACCGCCATCCTTTATCCTCACGGACAGTGGAGCCTGAATCTGAGCCACAACTTGTTTCTATAAAGACAGTAGCGATTACACTTAAGGAGGGAAAGTTTTAAATATATTATTGGTTGCCATGTTGTCACCTAACCAGACTGGCAGACTGAAGTGGGTGTGGGCGCCACTGGGCAGTAATTTCTGGCCAAATTATTAATTCAAATAGCAAAGTGATGAGCCACAGTTATCCACACAACCTCCTCTCTTCTGTTGCTAATGGCTGACACCAAGTTCAATACTCTGAGTCTTCCCATTTGACTGTTTTGAAGAAGAATTTGGTTTTTCACTCCCAGACCTTCACACCTGTCCAACGTTTCAACCATCCCTACAAGGATGGAAACCAAAGCCTTTAAGTGAATTATAAATTAAACATATTTACATTTATGTATGGTTGCAACCGACGATGACATTTATTATTAATCGGCTCATTAGTTTTCTTCATCAATCAAGTCAAGTGATTGTGAGAAACGTCCATCACAAACAGGTGACCTCTTCAATATCCACTCAAAGGGTCCTCCCAAACCTTTAGTACAGTATGGAGATCTTTTCTAGACTTCTACGACTCCGTACAAGACTAATGTGGATCCCCTATCTTTATTTTTATTTAATTATTTTGTGACTTTCCAGATTTTTCTTAGTAATTCTCTGCTATTCTCTTGGTTTTCTCCTTAATTGTACTCTCTCTCTCTCTCTCTCTCTCTCTCTCTCTCTCTCTCTTATTTATTTTCTCATGTCTTTATCTCCGTCACCTGAATGTACCGGAGTTCACCTGCATGTATACGTTCTGTAGCCTGTAACCCTACAGTGGGTAGCTGGGTGGCTGGTAGGGTGGGTAGGGTCGGGAATGAGGTTTTAAATTGCAGTCTGTAATTGCATTCATTGGGATAAAACCTGTGAAAATCAATAAAACATATTCACAAAAAATTAGCAAATAGAGGCTAGAAAACGACCAGATTTTTGAAACGTCAACCACAATATTTTAAACAATTAATTGTGATAATAATAATATATAATAAACAGATCTGGACTGTTATCTGCCGTTAGCTCTCGGTTATTTTTAGTAGTGTAAAACACGTTTAGCTACCGTTAGCTAACGTTAGCATTCAGCTAGCTAACTACTATCACTGGCATTTGTGCGCGTTTTAAAGTAAAGTACCAAATGTCTGTGCGCTTATTTAATGTTACCGACTGTGATGATGATGTTTCCATAACGTTACAAATGATGAACTCACACAGAGTAGCTGGAGGATTTGTATCGCTGCCATCGGCTCGCTTGACAGTTTGCATGTGAAACCTATCTTTTTTTTTTTTTTTTTTTTTCCCTGGTCGACGCACAGGTGATGGACGTCTGTAACAACCAATGGGAAAAGAGGAAAACTTTCAGGAGGTTCGACACACATGTGCCAATGAACGACCAACAAAGTCAGTTTGCGTGTGTATTTATTAAAATAAAATAATCCTTTATTAGTCCTGCAGTGTGGACATTTACAGGATTACAGCAGCATAGTGGAGTATATATATATTTTACTTCAAAATAACTCAACACGAAGCATATGAACGCATATGAATGTTGACATTGCAGTCAGTAAAGACTACATGACGTAACATTACATGCAAAAACAAGAATGGCGTTGTTATTGAACTCTGAATGACTTACATATTGTGATATAATTCATGATACATTTACACGTAAAGTTTCTTGTTTGAAAGCATAGTTTATCTACTCACACAAAATGCAGTTTGATGTGTTTGGATGATCATTTTGTTAAGTTTATGGAGAGACACTAATATTCTTAAGCACTTGCATTCAGCACATTTCTGGTGGCCCAAATGTAAACTCATGAACAACACAATAAAGGAAATTAAATGTGATTTACACGTCACAGACGTCACTAATATGAACTTGTTGACATTGCAGTCAGTACAGACTACATGGTGACATGTATGTGAGAAGAATGTTACGAGCAAGAATGTCCTAAAGCTCACTGACAGCCGAAGACTTACGGGAAGACGAACCTGAAAGTATTTCATAAACTGTCACAGTGGGTGTGACAGTGTATATATACATATATATATATATACATATACAGTATATGTATACTGTATATAAGAATATTTTAATCACATACTGCTGCATAGTTTAATCTGTAGCACAGCATCATATTTTCTAAACTCATCATATGTTTTGTTTTTAAAATCTTAATCTGTAAATTAACTCCAGATGTCAGATTGTGGAGTAAAAAGTACAATATTTTCCTCTAACATGGGGTGTAGAAAAGTATATAGTAGCATAAAACTGCGCCACTTAAATAAGTAGTTGAAAATGTACTTCAGCACAGTAAATGTACTTAGTTAGAGGTGCAGTGACACTACTTCTTATCCTTGACAGAAAAACAGGCCCAGCAGTTGATTTGCAGCAGATGTTCAGAGTAAACAGCTTAAAAGTAAAATATGACAAATATTCCTGGTAAGGTCTCTCAGTGGAACATTGGGTGTGATATTTTCAAAATATGCTAAACATCAAACAATCACTCAAAGAACAAAACATCTGTGTGTATGTGTGCACTGGTGGAGCATGCTTATGGCAGCAATCGTACGAACATTTTGCAATTATTATTAATAAATAAAAACTTTCCACTCCTGACATGAGAATGTGACAATGTGCATTTTTTTGCATCAACTCAGTCTGGAGGAGGAAATGAAAGAACAACAACATGAAACATTATAACTTACTGTATAACTGGAAATATACAAAATATGGCATTGTGACACAGTCAAGTAAAACCATCCAAATAGTCAAAATGATCTACAACACACATCAATACATAATAATATAACAGAGAACTTTTACTACTTCAATTCATTCACACCTTTAATGCATAACTGTTTAACTGGCTATTTTAAACAGCTCTTAATATCTAAAACTACGCCTGTTCCTGAGTGATGAAAACTTTTAAATCATGAAATACTATGCTGGTGTTGTTCTCATCTTGTGAGTCTGTGTCATGGACTTTGCTTTTGTGTCGTGTCTTTCCAGTCTGACGACCACTCAAAGGGCTTCAACACTACATGTCAACATTCACCCATTCACACACATCCACACACTGATGGCTGAGAAGACCATCAGGACTCAACTAACTCACATTCACATACATGCACACACCAACGGCACATTCTGTGAGGCATCGAGGCGACATGTGGTCCTGGAGACGCCTGCTGTGATGTAACTACCACACAGGAGGTTTGGAGTGTACTTTGTCAACCAGGTGTTGGTCTGTGCACAGATATTGTCAACGCCAGTACGTGAGTTTGAAGATGAAGGATTAAAAAAAAATGGAGATCCTATAGATATATAGACAATAATATGCATATTTTTTGTGACCAAATTTTTATTAAGTTACCAAACCGTCCTCACAAAATAGCGTAAACATTCAAACTATACACGTACAAGAGATTAAAGCCAGGAACCGTCACCTTGCCCTCTGAGATGCACCTGTTGAGGGGTTGTGGGTTGTACTTTGTTTGCAGGTTCATACCAAACATTGGTTACTTAAACAAGCTTTAATGGGACAAGATTCAGTTTTAGTTTTCAGTTGATTTAGTGAGTTTAGAAACATATCAAACATGACAGTGCATGATTTAAAACCTGCCATCACATGTGTTACATATGTGATGAACAAAACAATGTGACCATGTGACCATGTGATTAGTTGTAAAAGCATTTTCAGTGAGGCCTTCAGGTGGACAGGAGTGGGGCTGCGGTTTCAAACCAACACAGAGATTAAACTGATTCATTCAGGAACACTGTAAACACACATTGATGACGATCACACACTGGAGGAAAAACAATCTCTAAAGTGAGAGCTTCTTCAGGGAGCACAGTATCACAGCGTTCCACAGAAACACAGACCAAGTGTGTGGATGAGATACGAGATGAAACACCAGTAATACCATCATACAAAGGCAATGTGTCAGCAACACAACCAGTTACTGCCAGTAGATGCTTCACCAACACATTCCTGACCACAGTTAGTGTTTAAAGGGACTGCTGCAACTACTTAAAGGGACAGTTCACCCCAAATCAAAAATAAAATAAATGTATGAGTGTAGATCAGGCGGCAACCTCCGGTTCTAAAGAGCCTTAAAGCTGCATTCTCTCTAATGTCCATCAGGGGGCGACTCCTCTGGTTGTATAGAAGTCTATGAGAAAATGACTCTACTTCTCTCTTGATTTATTACCTCAGTAAACATTGTAAACATGAGTTTATGGTCTCAATCTCTAGTTTCAAGTCTTCTTCAATACAGCATGATGTTCATTTAGTACATTATGGTCCATTTAGAGTCAAACAGACCATAAAGCAGGGGATGCTTTAGAGCGGGGCTACAGAGAGTGATTGACAGGTTTCTATCAGAGACGTATACGGCGTCTCTACGTCACTCCTTGGTCCAGATATGGTCACTTCCTGTTCATTGGTGGCAAAAAACCAAGATGGCGACGGCCAAAATGGTTGAGTGTCATGTTGTTCCTTTATATTGGAGAGAAGGCAGACATCTCTACGGACAACTTCTACAACACTGGGCAACTCGCACCAAAACAATCTAGATTGATAAATAGCACACAGGTGAGAGGAAAAATGTGTGTTTTAGATTTCTGGGGTTAATTGTCTCTTTAGCACTAAAAGCACTGCTTACATGTACTGTGATGCTGCTGAGAGGACAGAAGCCAAACGCTTTGATTGCACAATATCATTCATCAGTAATGAGAGGTGTAAAGAATCTGGTTGTTTGGGTTGTTACGGGAGGAGGAAGCAGTATGTATTATTTCCTTGTTGTACCATTTGCTATAATTCATTTTTGGGTAACTTGTCACCATTGCAGTCGTTGACAGTAGAACACGTTGTGAAACCAGTTTTGCAGCCTATTCCGGCACATCGGGTGCATTCCATGAAACTTGAAAGGACTGCCATCATCTGATCAGCCTGCTAGAGCATATATATAATGATCCTGCAGGTGGATGTGAGTGGTAGAGAACCTCCAGACATAGTGAGTTGAGGGCATCATGACTTCAGTGCTGCTTCAGCTGCTCCTGGTCTCACTGGCGTCTGCACGTCGTCACTTTGGGGGATCCGTGACATTCAACGTCAAAGACAAAAACCCTGACGGATCATTTCGGGTGAGAGATGCAACTTTTTATATATGATGTGCAACGTGCATCCCAGGTGATGTGTGAATATGTTTCCTCTGGGATTTGTCATATTCTGGGAACGCTTATTTAATCTCTTTATTATAAATGCTGTTGTTATTTTAAATGTGTTTGAATGCTCTGTTTAGAGAATATAAAAGGTTTTTGCTATTAAATGTTTCTGAGTACATTGAAAAGATTTACATCAAATGTAATATTATTACTTATTATTACTTTGTCAGGACTTTATTAAAAACTATCTTCCTTTCTGAAACAGTTAAATTCCCCCGGATGTTGCTTACAAGATATTTAGATATTTATCAGCTCCTCAAGGGGGCCGGAAAAAACGTGTATTTATAGCAACTTCACTTCCACATTTTATTTAAATTCAGAGTAAGAATTTAATGCGTGATGGATGTAAAATAATATGGGTTGATATGTTGAAAACTCTCGATATTGCAGGCTTGATTTCTGATTCATGCTTTCATTCTTGCTGAGTTCATATTATGTTCTTGTGTTTTGCCTTTTCACTCCAAAAAATACATAATCATAATCAAGGCAAACTAGGTTCAGGTAAACACGCTAAATTATTTAACATTGTAAAACTCCCGTTTATGATTAATATATGATCTATAACTTGTTCAGGTAAAAAAAAGAATAAAGTGGAATCCCCCGTGGCTGAAAGGGATGACCTTTAATATTTAAAAAATCATTATTTCACCAAGAGAAGAAGAAAAAATCATTAAAGTTTGATGAGAACAATGATTTCCTTAATCTAAACGTGAACATACCATCATTATTGTTGTAATTATGGTTTCCATTCATGTTTTCTTTACTCATCTCAAGATCAGAGGACATATTGCAATAATATTGTTCTTTATGAATTTAAATAAAAACTAAGATATGAACTTTAACTATATTTGTTGATTTCTTGAAATGATTATTACAGATGAACACCCTTCTTTAAATGGATATCATTATAGAGTAAATAAACAGAAATGTGATTCATTAGAATGTCCTTATCTTCAGCAGAGACACCGTCTTTAACTCGAGGATCTTTTTCCACAGGTGGAAGTTCGCCACATGGCGACCTTTGATAGCTGTCAGGACTCCTACACCACCTTTTGTTGGCATAACTGTGGCTTAACCTCCACCTGGGTGAGCGGTACGATTGACAGCAGCACCAATGCACCACAATCCAACACACAATGGTGTCAAATTGAAACAGTCGACACAAGAAACGTCCCGAGTGACAAACATTTTGAATTAAGGTGAGTTTTTTTTCTTCTTCCCTTAAATCCTATAAATGCTGAATATTGTATTTGTTGTTCTTATCATAAAGAGCAGCCAGTGTTCGGTGCAGTACATCAAGAGTGTCTTTTGATTGATGCACATACCAGATATCTTGGCTGCTGTTGGATCCAAACTCGTCACGGGTTGAATAATGATTGGAGACTACAGTCTTCACTGGATCTGGGATCAAGATCTGACACTGGAAAACCCAACAGGTCACCAGACATTGCCATTCTACCTTTCCTCAGGTAAGTCCTCTGCAGTTAGCATGAAACAGCTAGGCTAAGCTACAATCCGTTTGTTAAAGAAACTGTGGAAAATGTTCTACTTCACCGCCTCCCAGTGGTACAAAAACAAAAAAGACACCGTGGCAGTCCTCAAATACATTTAGGGGCTGAAAGCCAAACATGGTCTGCAATCTGTATCCTACAGTTTGTCTACCAACACAAACATATAACATCAGAATCATTTGGAAAATAGTGTAATCGCAAAAAAACGAGTGACTTTAATTCAATGATTTCTTCCAATAATAAGAATGTTCACTTACTTATTAGTATGACATTCCAGCCAAAATAAATCAAATTGTATCCTTCTATTTTAATTACAGTGAAAGTATTTTTTGTACATTTTTATAAATATTAAAGTGTGTGATTCTGTATGTAAAATGTTATGAACTGTAGGACCTCTGCCAGCATGTCACTGGTTTATTACTTCTTGCATTTGTGTAGCTATCCAGCTGATTGTTGGCCTAGAAGACTGTTACTGGCTCGCGTTACTGGCTCGCGTTACTGTAGCACCCCGTTGCCACAGAGACCCGGTTCAAAACACCGTAAAGGCACGTACACACAGGAAGCAGTGTTGTGAAAATATAAATCTTTTATTTGTACAAATATAACTATGTGGAGTAACAGCAGTGACAGCTGGTTCAGCGGGCAGGAGTTCACAGACCAGGTGCCAACATAGGCATCACAAACAACTTAAAGCAAAAGAAACTCATGTTACTGACTCATGTTACTGATTCATGTTACTGACTCATGTTACTGACTCATGTTACTGACTCATGTTACTGACTCATGTTACTGACTCATGTTACTGACTCATGTTACTGATTCATGTTACTGACTCATGTTACTGACTAATGTTACTGACTCATGTTACTGATTCGTGTTATTGACTCGTGTTACTCACTCATGTTACTGACTCTTGTTACTGACTCTTGTTACTGACTGATGTTACTGACTCGTGTTACTGACTGATGTTACTGACTCGTGTTACTGACTGATGTTACTGATTCGTGTTATTGACTCTTGTTACTGACTCTTGTTACTGACTGATGTTACTGACTCGTGTTACTGACTGATGTTACTGACTCGTGTTACTGACTCTTGTTACTGACTGATGTTACTGACTGATGTTACTGACTCATGTTACTGATTCGTGTTATTGACTTGTGTTACTCACTCATGTTACTGACTCGTGTTACTGACTCTTGTTACTGACTGATGTTACTCACTCATGTTACTCACTCGTGTTACTGACTCATGTTACTGACTCTTGTTACTGACTTGTGTTATTGACTCGTGTTACTCACTCGTGTTATTGACTCGTGTTACTCACTCGTGTTACT